TGTCTTTATGTATCTCTTCTCAACAAGAGTGAAGTCACCACAACCTCCAGTGGACAGTGACGAGGCAGAGGAAAAGGATGAAGATAAAGTCAGCCTGGATCTTTGTGAGTCTGGTGGAGAAACAAGGAAACTCACGTGGCACTGGTTACAGTGAGCTCTAATGAGTTCATTCAGTTGAGATTTCAAGTTAACAAGAAGATGAAGTTTCTTGAAATTTTAAAATCTTTCTTTGTTCTTACCGCAGATGACGGTCACCTCCACTTTGAGGTGGGCGCTGACGGATCTTGGGGGCAGCCACGGTTTTGGGCTCAGTTCCCCTCGCTGTGGTCGGGCTGCAGGCTCACCCATGGGGTGCTGCAAGGCAGGGTGGGTTATGAGGTGAGGCTGGAGAAGAAGTTGTTGACTACATGGCAGGAGGAACAAGAGGAGGAGGAGCCCTGTGGTGTGAGAGTAGGCTGGTCAGTGGCTCACACCTCTCTGCTGCTGGGTAAGGATGGGCTTCTTCATCATTTCTGGACAGAGTGGCTTTTTAAAGAGTTGATAACACGTCTAACACCCTCTGATTCTAAATCTATCGTATATACCAGGTGAAGATGAGCTCTCTTTTGCTTATGATGGACGCAGTAAAAAAGTCTCAAGTGGAAAGGAAGAGGAGTTTGGAGAATCTTTCTCAGAGGGGGATATCATCGGCTGTTATGCTGTGAGTTATACTTTCCTCTTTTTCTCCTCTTTAATTCTTTGGGATTCAGGAGAGTTTTTACTAATCTCAACCATGTTTATTTTACACTCTCAGTCTTTCTTCACAGACGGTGCCGTTCAGCTCTCTTTCCATAAGAACGGTTGTTTCATAGGTGTGGCCTTTTCCCTGGGGGCCTCTGTGCTGCAGGGTCGACCTCTGTTCCCTCACATCCTCTGTAAGAGTTGCTCGGTCAGAATCCTCCTGGACCCCACAGCTCCTCCCTGGTACCCCAGCCCTCCAGGTTTTACTCCACTGGCAGCGCTCCCTGCTGGGCAGAGGGTGCGCTCGACACTGGGCCCTTCTTCCAGAGCACAGTGTGAGGTGAGAGACAGGGTTTGTGGCTGGGTGTTCATCTACAAATTCAATTTAAATGTAAATTCTTGCCCCCAGTTCACCATTTTCAACTTTAAACAAAACAACAATTTTGTAATAATTTAAATAATTAGCTGTTTTAAGAGATAACTTGTAAAGAGTGCAGCAGATAGATGAGATTAATAGGTTAGATTTGTTGTGAATGAGCTCCAAGGGATCATCTGAGAATCAGAATTTATGATAGTGAAACAAGGAAACTGTAATCGAACAAGGTCTGTAATGTAAAAGAAACAAAATAGGTACGTGCTACACTGAAAAGTCATTTGTCAAGTAAGAGTAAACATTTATCACACTTATTCGATTTCATTCTTCTCTTCCCCCCTCCAGGTTTTGCTGATGATGGGATTTCCTGGTTCTGGGAAGAGCCACTGGGCCCGGACTCACATGAAGCAGCATCCAGAGAAACGCTACAGGCTGCTGGGCACAGAGGAGCTGCTCACATGTATGATTGTCAGTCAAACCTGCTTTATTAATCCTCATGTTTCACATTTTAAGTTGATGTGCAACTTTTGACTATCTCATCCAAATACTTTGTGTGTGTGTGTTTGTGTGCAGAGTGGCGAACGGAGGGACAGCAGGCTGCGACAGGCCGCTCAGTGTCTGACTGATTTACTTAAAATAGCTGCTCAGACTCTGGGAAACTACATTTTGGACCAGGTGAACCTTTACTTCTAAACATGTGTCTGCTTAAGTCAGAAAATGGATGATGTAGACTTGTGAAACTGTGAATTTACTAGTTTGTATCTAACAAAGTATAAAAGTAGAAATGCTCATACTATGATGTGAACCATAGATCTACAACTTCAAGAAAAGCTCAAACTGTGCTCACTTTCTGGGTCAATCACTTTGTGAGGGTTGGTGTGGTTATTGCATCGTCACTTTCTAAAAGTCACACCATCCTCCCACTTGTGACAGTGTCAGTTTCAGAATGTTTTCTTTTGAAGCACACCGACCTCTGCCTCCTTTATCTTCTTCTCTTTGTCATCTCTCTGTTTCCAGTGCAACGTCCTCTTCTCGGCACGCCGTCACAAACTGCAGCTGTTCTCAGGCTTCAGGAGGCGGGTGGTGGTAGTTTTTCCACCTGCAGACGAGTGGAGAAGACGACTGTCGCTGCAACAGACGAGCGAGGAGAACCAGATCCCAGAGACAGCCCTGCTTAAACTCCAAGGTCTGACATGTGTACATTTTATTATCCCCACTGCCCCACAGCGATCACTGTCACTATGCTTATCCTTTCATAATAAGCGTGACATAGATGACTTAATAGTTTGTAATTGGTTCATCTATCAATTTTTCCGATAGTGATCTGGATCCAGGTTGTATTTGGAATGACCTACATTTATTTATATATTTGTCTTCAAATGTGATCAGAGCTTCGTTTAATTCTGGTTTCACTTAATTTATCGTTAGTTATTATGATTATTATAATCTAATCCCAATACTCATGTGGGCAGCAGTGTAAGGAACTGCACCACAGCCTCTGATAACAAAGACAATCTAAGTAACACCCCTGTTACTTTGATTCCAGTGAGTTGCAGTCTTCCAGAGCGGCAGACGGACCTGCTGGAGGAGCTGCAATATGTCGACCTGCTGGAGGAGCAGGCGCAGACGCTCCTGCAGGAGTACAAAGACTGCGCTCGCAGACTGCTGCCCCCAGTCCCCAAACAGGAGAAGAAGAAACCCAGAATTCACAGGAAAAGACCCCACACTCATGGCCCTCCACCATCACACAGGATCCAGTGGACTGGGATGAATGGTGAGCAGGAAAAACAGTGGACAATATTTTGGGAGACTTGAGACTCTTTAAGACGATTTGATTTTTTAAAATTTCTGTCTTCGTAGCGTGGAACGACCCGAGAATCAACATGCAGCCATGGAGTCAGCACCCAAGATATGTGAGTGTCATGCAGCTGTGGAATCCTACACGACCTTTACCACAAACCAAACCTCACAGTGGTACAATCTCTCCCTGGAGACTAATGTTTTACAGTTTTACATAACCTGTGTTGTTCTGCAGGTGACAAATGTTACAATCAATTACAGAAGAATAATTTATCATCAAACAGTGAAGCCTGCGAGGTTGTTGATAAAACTAAAGATAAATAGTCTCATAAATAAAACATAAAATAGGCAAAAACAATAAATTAGATTATCCAAAGTAACTTTTACTCAGGTCTTATCAAACCATTTTACTAGCACTACTTTATTACAACTATTAGAATATCAATTACCACAAGCTTAATTATCGATAAACACCAGAGGCATTTGTTAGGAGAGGTCTTAACAGCCTCTTTCCTCATTAAACAGAATTCAACAAAACTTAACTTTGACTCTGATGATTGACCATTAGATATATCAATCAGTTTAAATAGACTGATTCATTATGTTCATTACCATTTTGTCTTTATCACACACTTATTTGCCAGTTTATTAGCTACACGTAGTTACATCTGGTTGTGCTGTAGTTCGGGTTGTTTTAACAGAGCAGGATATTTAGCTCCTATCCGCTATCTCAAAGGCTAAAGGTTTGGTTTATTTAATCTTGTTCAACCCTCAGCTCAGCTTGTCAAACACTAAGTGTTACAACAGCCAGCTCAAGTTGATTTCACAATGTACATAAAGTCACATTGTCCTTTTGTGTCATTTATATTTTAGTGGAACGTGTCTTATCGGGACCAGAGGTACAACTACGGCAGAGACTTCACTCAGATATGAGGATTATTGAAGACACCAATGCTGCTTCGTTACAACATATTAACAAGGTGTTTACAAGGACAGTGATCAGTCTTTTAATTTAAAAAAAAAAGGAGGTGACTAAATCGTGGAGAACTACAGTTTGAATATCGCACTTCCTGCTTCAGTCAGTCAATGTAAATCAGTGTTTTAGTATTTTCAGAATTTTGACAAGAAGAACCAGGTCACTTTATCATTTTAATTCAAAATTTGAAAAAACGTTTATGAATTGTTTTTACTGTACAGTTTACAAATGATAAAAACAGTATTTTGCACATTTTAACACCAGTATTGTTCAGAGTGCTTAAAGTCAAAGAGTTAATAAAATTTTGATGAAAGCGTTTGGTTTGTTCATTGGATCATCTGGGTCCAGCTGGTGTGATCATCACCTGAGTGTGTGGTCGTGTTCTCTGCTCTCACTCTCTGTCAGGTTCCACTGTCCGATAGAGCAGCACGGCTCCTTTAGCTGAAGGACACAGCTCCGACCACAGAGGGCTGCTCCCGTCCAGCTGCAACACTTCCTTTAAAAAACAAAATGTCAAATATCACCATTGTCGAATTTCCTTCACCTCAACTTTGTTTGGAAAACTAATCTTTTGTATCCACATCCTGTCATGAACTGAACTTTCCGCCAAACACAGCTGCCAGAACAATTCACATCTGAAACTTCAGTATACTCACTGTTCTGCTGAGGAAGACGATGTCTGTGGACTCGTGTGCCTCTGCTCCTCCTTTCCAGTACAACTTTCTGACTTCATCAGATGTCAGTGAACACCTGAGGACAAACAGACAAATGAGTCTTCATCAGATCATGTATTCTTTTATTAGCTGCCTCCTTTTTGCTATATTTGCACTTTTTAAAACTTATTTCAAATAAGAGATATGAAAAAGAACAAACTCAGGCCTCTAGGTGAGGTTAAAATTATTTGATTTCCTATATCATTATGCATGCATAATTTTCTGTCATATAAAATTATCTCTGAATTCAATTAACTGGATTTACAGTTTTATTCTTTGTTTATCTGAATAACTTTTCATGGCTCCACTTTGAGAGACCTTTGCTTCAAAGGTTCAGTGTGTAGGATTTAGTGACATCTAGTGGTGAAGTTGTATGTTGCAGCTGAATACCCCTCACCTCACCCTACTCTTCCCAAAAATGAAAGAGAACCTGTGGTAGCGTCAGTTGTCACAAAAATTTAAAAAACGTTTAGTTTGTCCAGTTTCGGCTATTGTAAAAAACATGGCAGCCTCCATAGAGAGGACCCACTCCAGATCTAAATCTAAATTATTTAAGTATTGTACAATTTAGATGATTACACACTTCTAAAAACATCACTAGGATTATTTTATATTCACTTTCTGCCAATAGTTCCCTTTCACTTAAATCTTACACACTGGACTTTCAAGAGAAAACTGTTTGTGATCGGGATTAAAATTAGGAACACGAGTACCTGACGTAGAACTCCGCACTTGGTCTTCCAGCGCTGGTGTGATTCAGAGCGACTCCCATCAGGACTGGGTCTCCGAGGCAGCTCAGAGGAACGTTCACCTGGAGACGGAAAAGACGGGATGAAGGAAGTGAGGATTCATTGTCAATGTACACAACAGCCATGTCATTATTTTATTTTTTTTCTGTTGAATGAAATATCAATGAGACATTGATAAACAAGTAAACAGTAAATTATTGAGAGAGTATGCAGACAAACCCACTTCGTCTCTGATCTCAGCGCAAACCGACGCAAACAGCTCAGAGACGACGGCCTCCGGCCTCTGCTGCATCGTGACCATACTGACCACCTCCCCCGCTGTCTGGCCCAGACGCTCACACACCACCTGCACAGAGCAGTGGCAGTGTAATTAACGCTTCCAGCACATTAATGATATGGATTCATTTATCATTCCACCTCACCTGGGGCTCTGGGTGACCTCCGGGGATGTCCAGGAGCCCCCCCGCCTCTGCCACCCGCTGACTCCTCCTTATCAACACCACCTGTCTGTCACCTGTGCACAGGACGGCGCCCACACCCAGAGGCTGAGCCAGCAGCGCCAGAGCATCGCTGAACTCTGCATCTCCACGTTGACGGAGCTCCGCCACCCGAGACGACCAGTTGGTTCCCAGGTAGTCCTTGTAGCACGTCAGGCCGAGTCTCAGAGTGAGGAGCGGCCCAGTGTCTCGATCATCTGTGTTTTTAACAGCGTGTGGAGAAAGTTCAGCTTTTCTACAAGTCGAGAAATCTTGGTCCAGTGAACTAGTCGTCTGTTGGATGACACCCTCGACATTTTCTGTGTGATTTACAGGCCTGTTTCTTTGGTCCAAACTATTCTGAGTAACATCATGCAGAGGATCAGTGTCACACAAGCCCTCTTGTGTTTGCCTGCTCTGTGATTTGTCTTCCTGATCCTCCACGCAGTCTAAGGAGGTTACAAAAGATGAATGAGTGCAGGGTTGAGGTTTTGAGGAATCACAGGATGATGATGGACACTGAGGGGAGGCCAGGCAAAAAGAGTGCAGTCTGAATTTGGCCCCGTTGAAAAGCCACGGCTCCTTGGACACGCGCTCAGTCCACAGCTCCTCTATGTGGCGCTCTAGAGCTGCATCTGTCCGCCTGTTATATCTGGGGAGAGGAAAGAGGAAGTCAACAAAACATTGTCACTACAAGTACATGCCTTCAACTGACAACTGTATCATGCATATACGTTTTGCAGATCCCCACTCTTCAGTGTAACTACCTAAAGTGGTGGGATGTACTTAAGTACATTTTTCATGTATCTGCACTTAACTCGCTCACTGTAGAATTCTTTATCAATATAATAGTCTGTATCTAACAAAATATACACTAGGCACAGTTAATGATGTAGTAGACTGCATTAGGGAATAGACTACACTTGACAAGTACTGTTACTTTTAATACTTTATGTTTATTTAAAAGCAAGAACTTTCTTTTTCTCAAGTAGAAAAGTTAATGTGTAATTTTTGAGTACTTCTCCAGCTCTGAGCACATGTACACAACACAATGGGTCAATAGGTTGCACTTCTTTTTGTCCGTTCAGTATCTACCCAACAGGTTTGTTACATCACCAGCAGATACGAGTCCTCGCTTTACGTCCCTACCTTTCCGAGAGCTCCACTCGTACTTGAGACTCCAGCAGCCCGCTCCAGTCAGCACAGTGCAGCAGCACCGACACGTCAGGGTCCATCATCCCTCACTCTGGATCATCATCCAAGTGTTCGCTTATCTTTTCACTCACAGCATTGCAGTTCTGTCACATCCCCTCTGGATGTTCTCTTATGAAAATCACACACAGGAAATCTAAGAATTGATTTTAATCAACTAAACATGCATCAAGCAGAATCTGTAACAATATGATGATTGGAACTGTGTTTGTCAGTTAAGCATTAACAACCGTGACTTATTCACATATTTACACAACATGCGTACATGCATGCAAGTAATAGTTTTTCAATGGCACAGCTGCCAGAAGTAGAGACAAGCACAAACTAGCCTAGGGAAAAAAGTGACTAATGAAATTAAGAATTTAAATATTAGATAAGAATAAATATCCCACTCCTCGTGAAAGGAGCTGGACACATAGCATTTTGATAAATATGTCATGGACACAAAGACATTTGCTCTGCTGAAGTTATTAATCTATGTTTCTGTGTTTGACTGTGGATTGATGTGGATTTCCTTTCTTATTTGTTTTGCACAGTACGTTCCAGGTTGTGTAGATAGAAGCAGAAAGAAAGAAATTAAAAGCTGCAGTGATAAAAACCCTCCACTGGACATTTCAACCCGAAGAGCAGCAGCCGCAGGATAACGTGGTTTACTCTTTCTTTAGTGGACACGGTCACAACATGGGACTGAGTCTAAACTTTCCACTCACCCTGAAGCTGCGCACGAGATGAAGATCACAGCTTCTCATGTGAAAGTGTCCCCACAGGTTATTGGAGTGTAAAGTTATGACGGTACCGTGAATCTGGGTTAATGTGATGAATCCACATAAATGAACATGAGAGGTTTTCTTACCTTCCTCTTTACAAACATCCGCAAACATCCAAGTACTTTCTTCCTCTATTTTTGACAGATTGTACAATGGGCGCATTATCACCACCTAGTGACTAATAGACGTAACTGTAGGCAAGGAGGTAGTACACAGATCACATACTCAAATAAAAGTAATCCCACGATAAAATACTCCATTACAAGTACATGTCGAGTACTGACATCTTCGCTGGGTTACAGTACTTTAATGTAATGAGAAGAGAATATACTGGAAGTATACTTCATCTTCAAATGTATATTTACCTGACACAGCATTTTATTATGTCATAGTTACTAATGCATGACTGTGAAAGCAGCATTGTACCCTTGTCATTTGGCTGAAGTGGAACTATTTTTAAAAGGTCTGCAACTAATGATTATATTTGTATATAATCTGCATCTATAATCATTTTCTTGATTGGTTGTTTGGTTTGGATCGGGAGACCAAACCTGCAACACCTTCACAATACTTCTTTTGTCCAACCAGCAACTTAACAACTATAATTATGAGAATTGAAAATATTAACAATTTAGAAGCTATAGACATGAAATGATATGTTTTTTTTTACACAAATCAACAGATTGTTTCAGCTTTACTTGTATCAATTATGAAGCAATATTGAGTTAATTCGTTTATGTAAACCTTAATTCGTTAAGTAAGCTGTCAGATAAATGTAGTGTGATAGCTAAAGTCAAATATTAAGTCAAACTTTAAAGTAGAATCAAATTAATTCTCGTGTAACCTAAGAATACCTCGGATTCCTCACATGGTGTGTAAACTGTAAATGACTGCACGCGGTCTAATGTCTGTGAATGTGTTATGTTGCATTCAGGACGTGTTTTGGGGACATTGATTGAATCCAGTTATTTCACCTTCATGTGTTGGAGACTCCGATGAGCAAACACGTGCAGGGGCGTGTTTTTGTTTTGTCCGTCCCTAACAACTTCCGGTGAGAATACAAATAAAAGCCTTAATGCATCACCAGGCATGCTCAAACTTTTGCATACAATTGCCCTTAACAAATACTGTAATCAAACGAAGTAAAATAGCAGTGATAGTAAAACTGAATCTACAGTCACGTATGATCTGTTGGAAATTACAGTTTATAGTTGGAGTTAAACATTGGTGGTTGTATTTTGAAAGAGAGCTTCTCCTTTTCCGGGTTTGCCCCAGCTAGCATCACTGCTGTGTTTATGCAACAGTCAGCACCGCTTCAGTGTTATGAATCAAAGTGCTGCAGGTTTGTCACTTTCCCTCCTTCATTCTACTTCTTTATTCACGCTTTCACGTTCGCCAATTCATGTTTACCACAACGCTGCTTAGCATTAGCACGCTAACAGTAGCACGGGACGACTTCAAGCTAACGCCAGCTAGCAGCCCAGCCATTGTTGAGGCAGCAGAACAAAGTGTTCCTCTTAGAAAACAAGGTGGTTCTCCGGCTTCTAACTTTACACACTGTGGGTGGACATGTGAACAAAGCCAGTAGTGTGTGTGTGAGTGGTGATGCAGCCTATCAGAGTGATTTTTAAATCCAGATTGCGTTAAAGTAACTTATATTATAAATGGTCAACGCTCCCCCTGCAACAGAACCGCATGTTACAGTGAGTTACAGGTGAGTTAAACCCATCAGATCAAACCCTCCAGCTGAAAAAGACAAGGGAGATGTTTCTGTGTGTTGTCAAAGTGCAACATAAACACCTTCTGTTTGAGTCTTGGTGAGTCTGGAGTCAGCAAACTTCATCGTTGATATATAAACACTCAAAGGCTTTTATGCTTCTCCTGCTCTTTTGTTGTTTCCTTGCTGATGTCAAAATGTCACACACAGGTCATCTGCGTTGAAATCCTCCCATCATGCAGCTGGAGGCCCAGCTGAGACTGTGTCAGAGTTGCGTGTGGTTCTGCAAGAGTGGACTGCGCCTGCTTTCTCAGAGCTACGCACACAGGTAGACTCAGTGCACGTGGGAGTGTTGGATTTAATTAGAGTCGTTTTCTTAATGTGTTTGTGAAGGGATGCAACTATAGAAACAACACACACATTATTCAGCCAATACAGTCAATAAACCTCAGACTGAAGCCACAGATCACTCACAATGGGGAGAGAGAGCCATGCCAAGCTTTGTGCTCATATCCATCAGACTCCTGAATGGTTGATCTATTCATTAAATATTATATGACACTATTTATGAACTTCTTTTTACTTTAAAGCTGCACATACCACAGTCGATTGTTGTTGAGATGTATGTGTATGATACACACTGTTGCTTTTACACTAATGAAGTAACGAATGGATAAATAAAGTGATGTGAATTTATTGTACACTGCTTTGTTCAGGTCTGAATACCTTTATTTCGTTTTGAGTTATTTGATTTTCTCACCACAGAAAATCTCTGGACTACTACGATATCCTTGGAATCAAATCTGATGCCTCCTTGGAGGAAATCAAAAATGCATTTTTTGACAAATCTAAGAAGGTAGGATCCTGGTCCAGGTTCATTAATGAGATGTGCATGTAATAAAAAAATATCTCTGGCCACTTGATGGCAGCCTCTCACAGCCAGGTTTCTGCTTGTTAGCTTTTCCCACAGTGGGCTTCTTGACTGTTTGTTTTCACGGAGTAGCTTGCAGTGTAAATAAGGATGGACCTGTGTATTTACATTGTGATTGTGGAATAACTGAGGGATGAGGCAACTCTCCCTTCAGAGAAAAAAGCCCGTTTGTGACAGTAAATGTTCATGCATCTGTTAAACACAGACAGAAAGAAATGTTTGTGTTGTATAAGCTTGGTCTGCACCTTAATCTCGTGGTTGGATGAGTTTTTTTTTCTACACCTGATTATCCCTGCTCCATTCCTCCCATGTATCTGCAGCTGCACCCAGACAGGGACCCGTTGAACCCAGAGCTGCACGGCCAGTTTGTGGAGTTGAATGAGGCTTACCATGTTCTGAGCAAAGAGCTGAGCAGGAAGGAGTACGACTTCAAAATCAGACACAGATACACTGGGGGCAAGGCCTTTACATCCACCTCAAATCACACCACGTACAGAGCCAGGTGAAGATACACACAACCTGTCAGCCAGTGCTTTTTATTCTAACCTTTGTTCACACTCCAACACTCATGAACAAATGCAGATTATGCATAATTAATTTCAAGACTAAATCCATGTGGCCTGTGTTTACTTGCTGCAACACACACAAGTATTGTGATGACTACACACCTGACACCTCCACCTCTGCAGTGACACCGAAAGAAGAAACAATTATCTGTTCAGCAATGGGCCAGACATTTTTAGATTCTCAGTGAAAGTGCTGTGTAGTTTCATGTTTCAGGTTTTATTCAACCTTGTGCACAAATCTAGAAACTATCAACATTTTGTTCGCACCACTCTGCTGCAGATCGTTTGTTACCCTGATGTGTCGTTTTTAATGAAAACAAGAAAATCTGTGAGTTTTTCAGCAGTAAAATGAAACAATCAGAAGAAGTAATTTGTCCATTGCAGTTCTTTGGAAAACCATATGCAAAATATAGACCTAGATACAGATATGCAGTGGAAAGTACATTTAAGTCTGTCTGGCTTGCCATAAGATTTCTTTGTTTTCACCTTTGGTACGCTCTGACTCTCCTCTGTGTTAAATGTCACCATCATGATCTCTCTTCAACCACTTCGCCCCCAGTACGAACGCTCAGGACGACAGTTATTACTGGGAGCAGTTTCATCGGTCTCATTCCGCTGAGATGTCGTCAGAGGAGCGGCAGAAGAGGAGGAGCAGGAACTTTCGTCTGGTGGGCTACTGCGTCCTCACTATGGTGCTCAGCATAGGAGCTCACATAGTCTTCTTCAGGTAAAAAGCACACAGGATGCGATACTCGCCATGTTTTCATCACTTATTCAATTGGAAGCATTTCAACAATGAATGTCAGAAAGTAGAAGAATGAAAATGACCAGTCAGCAGAACTATTGCAACAGTACAATGTGAAATACCTGTCCTTGAATGAGCTGTTTTCACTTTGAAAGGCTGTTAAATACTGTACCAGTGTTTCCCCAAGGATTTCTTTTTAAAACAGTTCTGCTGTTGTGACTGTGTCCGTGAGCGTGGGACACCAGAGCCACAGAAACAGATTCAATGACCTTAGATTCATTATATATTGTGAAAATGAATTTATCGAGATCTTTTGACACTTGAAGGGCTCTGCAGGCTCTGATCTCTGTTATAATGAATGTCGAAGGACAGAGTTTCTCAACTCACTCATTTTTTACACATCAGCTAAATACATTATGTTAACAACTGAGGGACCGTCCACCCATTCAGTCATTTGGGTGTTGATAGGATCCTGAAAGAACAGGTTCGTGCCTCAATTATTAATCTTTAACAAATCAAAAATGGCACAACTCTTATTTTGTATCTACAAACAAATGACTAACTGGTCTCATGGGCTGCTGATGTCACGGATGTCCTGTGTTTGCACATGGTTTTGTAACATTCCCTCCAGGCGTCAGTGACTCAGTACACTGTCATGACTTCTGTTTAATCAGGCGTTCAACCGGAGGAACTAATGTGATATGTGCAGGTGTTGGAGGGGTGCATGGAAGAGGATGCTCTGCGATGTAAATGCATTCGCCTTAGTGTGGGTGTCTGTGTGGTAGAGTTGCCTTCATTGTTAGCAGCCCCAGTCCACTCCTCGCTCTGTGGAAGCATGAATTGCTATATTCATTGTCATTACATGTGTCTCCATTGCATATATTTGGATGTATTTAGGGGAAAGCTGCTCTATCGCGTCTTTCCGCTGTCTCTTCATCCAGTTTCCTTAATTTATGTTTTCCTCTCTTTGCCCTCTCGAGTTCTCTTGGCTGTGAATTCCCACCCAGTTGAATGAGATTGTTTGTGGACATGACTCTGTGCCATGTGTCTGGACACAACCTCTGGGCTTGTGTTGCCGTATTTGTTTTCACACACTGACTCGGTGCCGCTTCTGTTTGTGGAGATTCACCTCTCTGTGGTCAGAAGAGTTGCTCTAACAGCTGAACAAACTCGTAAATGCGGCCGAGCACACGAAGCGCCTGCTGAGCTCTGGGCTTCTTTTGCTTGAGCAAAGTTTATTCGGTTTTAAGATCTTTGCAACTGTTTCTCCGTCTTTTTCAGCAAATTGGAAGACGTTCACACTAACTTCATGGATGAGAAAGATAGAGTGATCACAGAGATCTATAATGATTCCAAAGAGCGAGCAAGGTGAGTCCTTCTCAATAAAGTCACATTTGGCTGCTAACACTTGTTTTGTGATGCTTGAATATGAAGCTGAGACTGAAGGTGTTTTCCGTTCTCTTCCTCAGGGTCAACGGTTTTAAGAAACAGACAGAAATCCTCCGGCAGAAGCACGCGGAGTTCGTGGAGAAATGCAGAAACCCCAATAGCGGAGACGCCAAGTAGGAGGATCTCCTGCTGTGATGGTGGAGTTTGAAGTCTCAGCAGGTGGAAGGTGGCAGATGGAATGTGGTGCTAGTTTTAGGATTTTAAAATATTTCTGGTGTATTTAAATATGTTGGAAGTAAAAAGAAAAAAGACAGCGTTGATCCTCGGGAAGAAACTGAAGGAACACAGGAATCAGGTTGTGATGTGAAAGGATTTTCATTTGGTTCTCTACAGTCTGATTTTCTGACCGAGCTGAGTTTTATATTAGACTGAAGCGTTTGCAGTGGGCAGCATCTTTGCATCAGGTGCACATTCAGAGGATCGTTCTCTGACCTTTTCCTCTTTTTGTCAGACGGACCTGAAATGAACAAAGACAAACCTCTCAGGAACATGTTAGTTATCGTCCTCGGCCTGTTTTCCGTGTCAGTGGTGCACAACATACAGGGACCACAGATGACAGTGAATTAATGGCACACGCCACCAGATGATTAAGTCATGGAATGCTGATACCCTTTCCTGGTATTAACTGATGTTGATTAAGGTCATGTCTCTGGTTGCAAATAAGAAGAGAGAGTTGAATGTTTTTACTGTTTGTTTTAAAGGCCTCAGTCTTTTGAGGTTTGACAGTGCAAAGTATTAATCTCAACATTAATCTCCCCCCCCCCCAGTTTGTGTAGTGGAAACATGAATCACTACAAGGCATTTTTTCAGGACATTGCTGCTTAGCTCTTCATCTTATTTTCAACAAACCAAAGTGAACAACATACATTTGTTTCAGACTGAAACTGTAAATGATCTTTAATGACTTAAGGAGTGACGCTTTGGTAAAACAATGTTAATCCTAATGATACTGAGACTATGAAAATGTGCGAATAGAATGGAAAGTACACTGGTTATTTTATGAACCATTTTACCATTTTGCCTTTTGGTTTGGTTTTTTTTTTGGTTTTCGACTGCCTCGTCTGTTCCCTGCAGGCATGTCAGCGAGGAATGATTAAAAGATCAACTCTTCCTCATCAATCATTGTTGCTCGTTTTGTCTCTCATTCTCACACACTTTGCTTCTGTGAGACGGAACAGTCTGCCTCCAGCTTTTCTTATTTCCCTCCAAAGAGAAAAGAATTAAAGATTTTTTTATACAGTGAAACAAAATAACAAGAGGCTTTGATATGCATTTGTCGACTGTTTATTTAATGAGGAACCACACCGAAGAGATAATTATTTATCTGCTTTGCTCTAAGATTCAAAAGTATTTTCCATGATCTCAGAGGCCATCGTTTGTGAAAGTAAATTTCCACAGCTCTTTCTCAACCTCTGGACTCCCATTTGGAACAAATGCAGATGTGATTGGCTGATATGTGACTCTGCACTTCCAGTACATATATTTTTTATTTGCATGTTTACATTACCATGGAAGTTCTGTTTCGTTTTGGCTGTGAAACAGTTCATAAATCTTCCATGTGAATTGACATGATGGAAAAAAAATCCTTCACTTTCCAGTGTTTTCTTTTCAAGAATACTTGCACATGCATGGACTGAACTTATGGAATCCTAGAATTGTATGTGAATTCTTTTTCAGGAAACCATATCGCCTTTTTCTTCTTCTTCTTCTTCTTGGTGTGAGTCTTGTCTTCTTGTCACCAGCGGCTCCTGTCCTGAGACGTCAGCAGGAGATAACTTATCCCCGCATAGCATACAGACACCCTCACCCTTATGTGGCGTGTGAGTGCCCTGTCATAACCCAAACACACCATAATGACTGATTCTGGTGTCAGCATGCCTACACACACACACACACACACACACACACACACACACACACACACACACACACACACACACACACACACACACACACACACACACACACACANCACACACACACACACACACACACACACACAGATTGAAGACAAGGCTTATGGGTAAGGGAGCTACTACAAAATAAAACCCATTTTTAGAGACGACATACATTGATTTTTATCAGAGCTGCAGAAGCAAAGTGTCAAATCCTGCGGAGACATATCCGTGTGTCTGACGCCCTCTGATTTATTATTTGGAAAACAAGACTGATACAGAGCAGAAAAATAAACCATTGACTTGACCAATGACAGATTGACTCTCAGACTTTCACACCACCTGGATTTCAAATAACTTTCGGGGGTGAAAGGTGTTTTGCATGTTCACTCACATTGGTGTCAATGTGTCATGTCTCACTGGGACACTTGAAACTAACAGCCATCAGTCATGTTAGTTACTCCTATTATTATCACTCATACTATAATTTAAACTGTCAGCACGGAATAAGACCTGTAGAGACACAGTTGAGTTCTTGTTGACACGGCCAGAACATCAGGACAATACAGGAGTCTTCTGTTGTTTTGTTTTGGCAGAAAGTTGTTGAATTCAAATATATCCTTACTTTCATCTATTGATTATTTTCTCAGATAATCAATTTACAGATGGAGAGAGAGAGAGATACTATATGGATCCAAAAATTGCAGAAGATGGATGGATGGATACTTTATTGATTCTGAAAAAAATGCACGAAATGTCATTCAATTTACTGAAATCCAGAATCAACCTTTAATCATAACAGTTGCAGATTCATCATTTTTTTGTCAATTCACCAATCACTAATGACAAGTTACAACTCATTATACACAGCTGAATACAAGAATCAGTATATGAAATGCCTAAATTGAAGACTCAACCCACTGAAACACCCAAATATCAGGAATAAAACCCCGGGGACACCTACAGCCATGTCCCCCACTTGTGAGGGGCCCCTGGAGCCCCCCCTCGGGACCAACAGAGACGCCGCACCTGTATTCAGTGCGCCTGTCCCGTTTGGAAAAAGTTGGCAGCGCAATGGTTACGCTGCGTGCGTCTCAAGGGCAAAGGAAATGAGGAAACCGATCACAACAAGAAATGAACACTGCCACATTTCCAGACCTGTCTGTGTGTGTGTCTGTGCTGCTGTGCTGTAGCTCTGCTGCCATGTCAGTGCATGCTGTTATATTAGGTTTATTTATAAGGGGATAAAAAAAAAGGGAAGATGCGCCTGGAGGGGAAACGTCACATTTTCAGAAGGAGCGACAGTGTGGAGAGACTGTGACCGAGCCGGGGAGAGGAATATGCGGCACTGTCGGCCCGAAGCGTCGGATCATCCCCGGATCAACGTGCTGTGGCTGGAGGATGTGATTTGTTCTCTTCATTTCCAGCGACTCGGGCTTTTTTGAGAGCAGCACGTTTCAGCGGGAATGAGTCAGGCCACCCCGGACCTCACGCAGCAGCTCCCCGGGATCAGGACCAGGACACTGTCGGTGTCCTGAATACATAAGGACGCGTCTTTTTAAAGTTTACGCAAGTGTCACCAGAAATACGCGGATTTTAGTGTCAGATGTGCAGTGATGACTTGAGACAGGCGCGTTTCATGTGCCCGGGATGGATGAGTGTTGCAGCCACCGCGCAGCCTGCTCCTGAGTCCAATAAAGAAACTGGAATCCAGGCTGGAAAGTGTCTCCTGCTGTAGATCATTTGGTGTCAAAGTTTGTATTCCAGCTGTGAGGATGCCACCCCGGGAGGAGGCCGGGACACTGCATTTCTGGACACTGAGCTGATTTGGAGACAGTCTGACGCGCACCTTCATTTCTTTCCTGTTTTTTTTTGTGTGGGTTATTTTTTTTTATTTTTTTGGATTGGTCCAAAAATATTTTTGCGTGCCCCTTGGACTCCTGCACAATGGGGATTATGCTTCAAGTTATTCTAGGAATGTTTCAGTTCCTGCTGCTCACCAGAATACCCGCGTCTCATGCCAAGGTATGAATGTATGGTTTGACCCGAATAGACTGCAGGGCTGCGGTGGCCAGCCTGTCAGGTTACTTCATATTTAGAGCCACTGAAATGAATGCTTCTTTATTTGTGTGGTCTGGTGGAGATCATGCGGGGCTTTTGTGGAAGTTATCCCCCAGGTCAATGACACTTGTCACTGCTGGCCCTGTGACAGGAGAACTCTCTGGGCTGTAACAGTGTTGAGTGATTACTTTACAGGCACTTTGTGGTATTTATTGTCTCCTGTCATAAACTCATCCACTGCTTCGTTCTGATGAGGCACCATTTATAAGACGTAATAAATAAAACCACTGAAGCTTTGCAGATCACGAGCCAGTGGTAAGATCATACTTCAGGGTTGCCAGGTTGTGAAAAATCCTCCCTCAGCATTTGACATCCTGAAATATTCCATGTTCCTTTGGTATTAAGTAAAAAGTGTCAGGGCATCCTGCCTTTAGCAACATGGCAATAATATATTAGTTTAACAGTTAATTTTATATTCGACTTTTTAACAATTAAACACTGCCGTTAGCTTAGCTTAGCATAAAGAGTCGAAGCAGGGAGAGACAGTTCGCCTGGCCTAAAATAAACATTTTAATATTGTTTGTTTAATGTATACTAGTAATTAGACTAGACATTAAATGTTTATGTTTTTAGGCCAGGACATGATGAGTGCACACTACAGTGAATTTTTTTAGGGGGCTTATAAGGTATTGAAAGTCTTTTGAACAGATGGACAGAGCCAGAGCTAAGCTAACTGACCGCTAGCTGCAGCTTCACAATGACTGTACAGGTGATAAAGTGGCTCAAATGTTCTGATCAGAGAGTGATGAAGTTCATTCATTGAATTAAATGTATCAGTCTATTGCCATTCAATTTTTAGAAATATTCCTGTAGAATCAATGAGCTTCTTAGCGAAACTGACAAGTGTTCTGCAAAAGCATTCTTCAGCTTCCAACCTGGCAACCCAAAAGTTATTCTTTATTACTTAGATATAACTGATCTATAAAGCATTCATTACTTCACAGCTGCACCAAACATTTATTTTTCATTATGTATTGATCTGTGGATTAGTTTAATAGATTAGTTAGTTTGTGAAATGACATGAACATAAAGTACAGAAACAAAACCTTGCATTTTTCCAGCTCCCATTTCTTTTCATGTTTGACCAACAATCAAAGATTTTCATTTAGCAGAGATAGAAAATAACAGTGGAGAAGATGTATGACTATTCAAGACTACTACTATATAATTGTCTGTCAGCTGATTAATGGATTTATAGACAAATTGTTTCTGTACTAAAGCCTCTAGCTACCTTTATAATGTTTATAATGGGTGCCTCATTAGACAGTGGTATCCACATACTTCCTGGTTGAAGTTATGCTCTAGATACACACACACACACACACACACACACACACACAC